AAACCCACTAGGTTGGACAGGCAATCCTACTCCTTGTCACGTACAACCGGGGATTCGTAACTACGCCAATTGACTCAATGATAGGCCTTATGATACAGCGCACACGTGCTAACCATTCGACCATCCGACCCCCAAAAATAAAATTAGAACAATACAATGTACATCCAAAATGGTTACATATTTCTAATCTACGCAATAAGTCACTCTAAATAGACACATTTGAGGCGTATAGGTCATTTAGAAGTTATTTTAAAATCAACGTGCAAAGTCAACAATACTGATAATAGCCAAGTGCCGATTAAAAATATAAGCCATCGAATACACAAGATGGACCTTAATGTATGTTATAGTAGGATAAATGAAATTTCATTATCAATCTTTTGCAGAATTTCAACATCTGTCCCACATGGCCAAAATTGAAGGTGAAAATGGGTATATTTTGTACCTTTTCATTGTGTATTGAATTTCGAGACTGAATACATGTATTTGGAAAAGTATATCCCTTCAACTCAGAATCTTTTGTAAATTGATAAAAGACAAACTGACATTAACTATGCCAATTTTGGAGTTTGTGTATACAATAGTGACTTTGCCAGAGGCTGTGGAAGTCCTGAAAATAAAAGTGAATAGTTCATTTGTTCCACATTTTGCCACATAGTGGCTTGAAAAGTATGCATTGGACATTGAGTGTGATGCTAAATTTGTGGACTACACCAAAAGCTGTCTTCTTAGATTACAAAATTACAGAGTTCTACTCGTATTAGAAATGTGAGTTTAAAGCGCCTGAAAACCTGAAAAAAATACAGTAAACTTTGCATAAGTCGGACCTAAATGAACTGATCAATTTTATCCGAGTTACACGAAGATCCGAGTTAGCCAAAGACCTAGTTCAGCTCTGAACGTAGGTCTCATTATCGCCCTGTACGTTCAGGAACCGTTCTATTGAATCCTTGTCGAAATAAAATCGGTTCCCAGTCAATTTTACTGGGCAACTTTTTACTGCTAAACGGTTGTGTGTCAGTCTCTGTGAATGCCTGAACAATGTAAAGGAACATTTTAATGAGAAAATAAGGCCTTGCTTACCTCGCTAGAGTCAGTATGTGCAACACAACATACTGTTAAATATCTGTCCCCTTCTGCTAAAAATTGAGGTCTAGATGTGGGGAAAAATTAGAATCGTTGAAAAGCTGAGAAACTTCAGTCAATTATTGCTTTGCCTAGCCTAATTACTATCAAATTTTTTCAAAAATTCCAATTTCGTTTCATCTTATATGGCCGAGTTGCGCAAATTTGTGCGCTGCCCTGTATTTGGATTTCAATGGCATCAGCCAGGTCGTATTTTTAACAGCATGTTGTGAACATACTGCTGATCTGACTTAGGCAAAGGAAAAAAGCCGGAATTAGATCAAATGGACCAAACATTTTGATCCAAGTTAAGCAAAGATCTGATTTAGGAAATCCAACTTACGTGCTGATATTTAATAAGAAAAACTTGCAGGATCAAAGGATCAGTGATGGGATTTTGCCCGTATATTCCGGACTTGTCCGAATCTTTTTTCCAAACACCCAAGATTGTCCGACCGGGAATATGCCTAATCGGACATCAAGACATGGTGAATAATATTCAAAATTCTGAAATTAATATAGTTTACTGAGTGTATAACTACCACTCAACCCGATTATCGTCAATAATACGCTGGGTTTATTAGGTAATTAAGTGATCAACGTATTTATCGTGTTATACCGTCTATAAACCTACCTTAATAAACTACTTAATCTGCCTGGATTGACTGACTTAATCCTTTGTCGGACAATTCATCAATCTAATCTTAAACAGAAGTCATTGTTTTCCTTTTGTCTGACTATTCATCAATTCAATAAGAATGATTAAAATTTCAATCCACCTGTTTACCTCGTGGTTTCTCAAATGTCGGGCATCTTAATCGCATTGATGTGAGCCATATCGTAAGAGTAAATAACACCCTAAATCAATGGACAGTCATTTTGTCTTCGATATCTTTTACGTCTTTTAAGAATCCATATAGAAATTCTCATCCACAGTGGCACTTTCCCTTGATCTCGAGCGCGGCACGAATATTGCTTAACATAATATTATTAGGCAGTGCTTACTATGAAGTCGTGTGATGTGAGTCACGTAGGCTATTAGTCTCTATTATCCAGAAAAATATTCTACGAATATGTTGAAGACTAGGAGTTTCTGGGTGACCGAGACTAGTACGCCGTACGCTGAAGTTGGTTGATGCTATACAGCACCCAGCAAAATAACAAAAAGGGGAGGAGCTACCAATAGCTATATGAGCAGAAATTCTAACGTATTTGTAGGCGGGAATTAAGAAGCATGTCAATCATTCTGCTGTGTTGCCTATGATGCCTGTCACTTTGTCGTGACTATGAAAGAGTGTTATTCGCTGAAGTTAGCTATGCCTGTTTACAAGTGATTTAACTATTTCAGAGGTTCTGCATTCATTTGCTGCCGTATAAACGAAGACACGTAATTCTATATTATGGTTGTGAATTTGATGCCGAAGCAGGATCGGCAAGCTTTCATTCAACATATTACGAAAATGCTTAATTTTGTAGGACATTTACTGACATAAATTTGAATGCCGTACGGGAATTAAGTGTGAAAAATAGCGAGGTCACCAATTTTTATTACGTACGGGATTTGAATATTTTGTTGACATGTGATTTTTAATTGTGGTATGAATTGAATACTGTACGGAAATTAAATATGAAAAATAGCGAGGTTCACCTATTTTTATTACGTACGGGATTTGAATATTTTGACATGTGACTTTTAATTGTGGTACGAATTCGCTGCTTAAGTAACGATAAGAGTTATGCCCCTTTATTTTCGGTAAAATGTCCGACAAGAAAAATTTTGAAATCCCATCAATGCAAAGGATCCAAACGATTTTATCCGAGTTAGGTGAAGATCCGACTTATGCGAGGTTTACTGTAACTGAATTTATGATCTGTTCCAGCACCCTAATTTCAAAGGGAGGTAAAATTTCGTATTTGTTAGTTTAAGGCCATATACCAGGGATGTCACTAACTTTTCAAGTAACAGGAAATTTTGCTGAAGTAAGGGGCAGCAAATGTTTAGGGCCTCAGGCCTGAATCTGCGGGCAAACCGAAGGGTGGGGAGTGTGTTATGGCGTTAGGTGCATTTCGGGTCAATATTTTAAATGACAGAAAGTTTTTTTTAAAACATTTGGTGAAAATATACATAAAAAATCTATCCAAAAAAAACTTTAATAATCCAAATAAGTGCTTTTCAGTCATATCTGAGTAAAGTCTTAAGATAAGCCTTATTTATAGAATTGCACGTCTACCAATTTTAAAACTGAAATCTGTGAATATTAGTTTAGGTTTTGCTAAAACTTATAAAATCGTAACAATTTAGAAAATATATAAAATATTTTTAATCTTCATGATACCAGATAAAAGGCAGGCTGCATTTATTCGGAATTAGCAAATCTCAGTCTGCAAAACCGATAAATCCCGTTTTCTAATTATGGGTGTAATCGCGTGAATGAAAATCCATGAAAACGTGACATCAGAGTTTTATTTTCCCGCAAGTGCCTCCCAGATAAACAGTAATAGCACTTATATTTCTATAACTTTTGAGTCCGGCTATTTTCGTATATTGAGATCGATATCAAAGCATTATAATACAACCGCTAGTAATATATTTAAACGAAAAAGTAATCTAAAATCGCAGATTGAAAGTCAGCTAAATTTCAGTCAATCACTCAATGCCAATGGCTTCCGATTTCACACTCAAGTCACGTAGTGTGAAACGTTTTCTGTTCACGGGAGAACTGTCAAAATCGTATAAACGTTTACTACTAGCCATGAGGAAAAATGACAGTAAGGGAACGAACCTATTACAGTCAGTACAGGTCTCTATTTTATTAGGTACGCTCATGTACCTATTGATTACAATATACTTATAAGAATCATGAGACATGAGGTTGTTTTATACAACGGAAGTAAGGGGGTTACCTCTCTTTTAGAAAGTAAAACTAGCATTGGCATAATTATGAACATTTCCCGTGAGAAATAGTCTTCCGTGCGGGAGATCGGGAGAAAGGTCGTAAATCTTTGAGTATCACAGAAAAACTGGTTAGTTGATACGTCTGTGTGCTTTGCGTTTAGGAATTAAATTAGTTTCAATTAATATAATGCCAAATTATTTTATTAAAATTAAATTGCTGATCTTTTTTAGCTGAAAAGTAGCCGGAAATTGGCCTAATGTAAACGGCGAAATTTGCCGAGAGAGAGAGAAATGGGGTTTAACGTCCACTCGACACAAACTAGGTCATTTCGGGACTAACATATGGTTTAATTTTATTTCAATAATTCGCTTGCGCCTAGGGGTCTTTAGCAGTGGGAGGAAACCGGGGGACCCGGAGAAAACCCACGAGGTTGGACAGGCGACCCTACTCCTTGTCACGTACAACCGGGGATTCGAAACCACGCCAGTTGACTCAATGACAGACTTTATGATACAGCGCGTGCATGCTAACCATTGAGCCATCCAACCCGCCCCCCCCCCCCGAAATTTGCCGGTTGCCGACTTCTAATGACATCCATGCCATATACATATATTCTTTATAATTTTTTGGGAGGAGGTCATGCTCCCACTATTGGTCCAGTTGATATGGAATGACCCTACTACGGTTTCAACTTCATACATCTATTTTAAATAAGTTTTGTGGTCGATGCGGTTACCATAAAAATGGATAATCAAGACTTAGTTTATTATCGTAATAATGGTAGTAATGACAATCAAGCCTAGGCTATAATTATATTGCCGGTATCTAGGCTCAGGGTGAAGTAATTTGACTGAAAGGTTCAGCATATTCTCTTTTCATTATCTATTTTTTAACTATTATAACGAGAACTGTCAGGTCTTTATCTAATCTTACCTAATGCCGTTTTAATCAAGATAGATATTTAAAGAGGTTACAAACCTATCTACAACTTCTCCTCTTCTTTCTTTTGCCACCATTTCTAATAAAGTAGTCCTTAAATGATCTCGGATGATAGGATTACGTACTACTTGATCTCGGAATATGATCAAACCCAAATTATATACATTGTCTACACTATTCTGTTGTACATACACACGATCCATGTACATTAATATATCACGGATCATCACCATTGACGTTTGATGATCGTTCCATGCATTGTTTAATGTTTGAAGAAAGTTATTATTTAGAGCAGCAAGTACGTCATCTCGAACCTGAAAACAGATAAAGACAAAAACCTGATTCAACTTTCATGATTTCTATTTGAAAAGTAAACCAATGTATTTTTCATGTGTCCAGATCAGTTTGTCCTAGCACTAGGGCTATACGATATTCTCGATATAGTCATTTATCACGATATGGTATTTTCAGACCCAACTACGATATCATTTGGCCAAAAATCGTCGATATAGTGGTTTATCAAATATCGCCAAAAACTTCAAATATCGAAAAATATTATCATAAAAATAGATAATTAATACACTATACAGCAGTGGAAATTAGCCAACGACAATAAACTATAATGTTTTGAGAATCGTTAAATGTTGAAAACACTTGCGCAGTGTCCGCAGCTGTTTTTCACTGCATCGTGTATGCGTTACTTTTACTTTGTTTTTAGTTGACAATAAATTGTCAGTTGTTACTACATGTAAAACTTAGGCCTACTAAACGCCTGTAATTTCCCACTACCGCAGCTAATTACCAGGCTATAAATAGGTTGTCATATTTTTAAAAAACGAATATATTTTAGAAAACTTTACAAAACTTAATTTCTGAAAGCAAGAATAAAACGATCTATAAATAGATTACTGTCACTGTTACTGCGTTAGGCCAGGAATACCACAGCCAATCGAATGCTTGAATGGAAGATAGTCCGGATCATTTAGTATTTGTTAAACTGTTTGGACTTACAATACAAGACTTGAAGACCGGATCTACATACTTCCGCTGCACGTGATATTTGAGAATTTTCTTACACAAGGTCACAAGCAGACGCTTTTTAAACACCAGCGGTTGTATTTAATTTTTATCCAAAAGGATGTTGTTTTGTTCATTTTAATAAATACATATTATAAAAAAAGCAAAGTTTAAAGTATATGAATAAAGCAATTCTTACCCACAATTCTTACTCACACTGTAGTCAGCTTTAATGCATTTATATTTAATTTATTTAATAGAAAAGTGAGATTATTATTAAATGTCGCGATATTTAACTATATCATTGAAAAAAATGCCAATATCGATATCGTCCCTTTTTGCAATATCGTACAACCCTACCTAGCACTACATGTAGCCTACATTGCCCTACACATGCCATGGGCCCTGTAGTGGAAAAATTTACCTTTGTATTTTCAGTGTGTACATGTATGACCTATTTTCTTGCTTAAATTATCAAATCATAAATATATTGTAAATATATTAATTGTAAATGTACATTACTGTACGTTACAAGAATATTTAAAGGATATCTTAATTCCAAATTAAATACTTAATTATCTTCAAGACAAAGTCGGATACATTTATACAAATTAGTAAAATAATAAACTGTCCATACCCAACACCGTGCAGTTTATCTGACATCTTAGGAGAAAATGAGACTAATTAAATACAGGTAATATTGATATACCTTATTAATAAGATGATCAGTAACGACCTCTCTAAGACCTGTGTACAGCTTTTCTCCATGTTTATGTAAAACCATGGTATAAGCATTTCTATATAACTCCTCAAAACTCAAACCACTGTTGTTTTTCTTCTGGATTTCTTGAATAGCATTTTTTAATAGAGCCCAAATATTGTTTACATATTTTTCATCCATAGTCATCTGAAAAGAAAACATAAAATCTAAAATTAGTATTCATGGTCTTATTAAATTCTTCTAGCTGTAAGCTATTACAAAATTTGTTCTGGGATTAACATGGCACAATTTCCATGTGTATGGATTAAGAAAATACAATTTATAAAGATTATAATAAATTCATATTAGGCCGAGTGACTATTCACAAATCAGGATTTTGTATTAGGCTATATTCCTAAGCTAAAGTTCCTGTTCATGGAAGATAATAATTTTCTTTTATGATTCTTCTAATAGAGACATTCTCAAATTTTTCTTGGAGAAAATCTCATTAGAATCAGGTGACATTTATTGCATATTGGTTTAGATAACCATAATCTGTAATATCATGCTTTTTAGTCCATATCCTACCAACAACCTCAGTGTAGGACTACTACTACTATGTTCTATAAATAGGAGATTTTATTTTATGATCAGTAGTGGAATACCGCGTTTTATCAGTGAAATAAAAGTGTTATTCCACTGGCTAGTTGTTTTTACCTAAAATGATTGTAAAATCATAAAATAAATAGAACATTTGTCGTTTTGTCGTGAATAACATATTTTATTTCATCTCTAAGCAAGAAAACATTTATGTTATTCACTCTAAGACGACAAATATCCTCTATATAATAATAATATCAACTGTTTTCAAATGGGAAAATGAACAGAAATTTCAGTTAGTAAATCTAAACGTGAAGAATTGGCTCAATCATACAGTACACCATAGATCTAGGCCCTGAACTTACTTATAGATAATTAAATTTGATATTCTACACAGTGACGTCTGATACGAAAAAAATAAGTTTTAGTTTGTTTTGGGGTGAAATCCAGTCCAATGTTGGGGTCATATCAATTTTTACTTAAACTTAAAGTAGCTAAGTCTCTAACTCAGTATCATCCAAGTCTTCGAAATTGAAAACACAAATTATTTGTTAATTTAAATTAACATTGATGTTGTGATCTTACGGGGGAAGAGATGGGCTTCTATATCCAATAATTAAGACAAAATAAACGTTTTACCGTTGGTACGCAAATCGTGTACCATGGTGCATTTCAGCGCCATTTTTAACAAGGGTCTCGTAGAAAAAGGCTAGATCGGTATAGAGTGGAATAACCAGACGCTACAGATTGCCATTGGATTGAGACTTCTGGCGTATTTCGCCGAATATAACTGATTAGAAATTGCAGTAAAAACAGAATGTAAATCAGTTTATATACATTCACATTACATTATATACGTTGCGACCCATTTGGGCATTTGGGCATTTGTGTCAATTTCTAGATCCAAAATATTAGCGATTTAGCTCCTTTAAAGTGTCGTGATGTGTCAACATATTCATAGATAAATGTGCTAACCGACCTATTGTTTAAACAGTAACGTTAATTTCTCTCGCTAATAAAGCTGAAATAGATATTCAATATACTTACAGGAAATGCTCGTATACGCATTTTAGTATCCTTACGAGTTTGAGACGATCTCGCTAATCCACTCGACATTTTGGCTTTTGATTACTTCAACTTCAGCGCTAATTATCTATTATTATAAATTCACAGCTTTAATCGAATGCACTACAGTGGAAGATTAACCATCTTTCTAATGACTTAAAAGATAAATTAATCTTAATGTTGCCTTGGGCTTTGTTATGGCATCTTTTGTTATCAAATTATTACTTTTAATAACACGAACTCATCGCCATGAAATCTTAAGCCGTATCACGGAGAAGTAATTCCAAATGCGCTAGAGGAAATATTTCTCGTTCTGTTTTTATTTATTTACTAAGACAGTGAATGAATAAAGCCCTCAATGTAGAGTAATTTACGAGAATAATTAAACGCTTTAGCGAAAGTATATGGGTACAATTAATGAGATGTCAATTGATGCGTATTGATAGGGTCATTAGAGGTTATATTAATAGAAGTGCAGACAAAATTCCCACAATCATTATTGTGACGCCACTTCCTATAAAGAGAAAACCACTACCGTGTCCATAACAATAGTCTTGATTTACAGGACGTAGTTAATATTTCAGAATCCTTTGTCCAGACTGAAATTCTTACGGAAAAGAATTCACAAATGTAGTTTGGCATGATGATCAAGACGAACAAATCTGCTGCAATAGTTGTAGTGAGGTGTTTGTCCATCTTAACACGAATCTACCGGTTAATTTTCTGTGAAAGAATTAAACAATATGGCACTCTGTTGTTTATGTGAATTAATGCTTTATATAGTCGTGTTAGCACTAACTGTTGTTGTAGGTTCTATTGTTTTCATTTATTTCAACTCTGAACGGTATCCCAGTCTATTATTTCACAGCACCGAGAAAACTTTTTATCACTCCCCAGACCAGGAGGCATCCACCAAATTTCCAAGTTTAAAAGATGAATCATCAGTGGACCTCACAATTGTCGTTCCAGCTTATAATGAAGAGAAGAGACTGCCAGTTATGTTAGACGAAGCTTTAGAATATCTTGAAAATAGAAAGAAAACCTCAAAATTTACCTATGAAATAGTCATTGTTGATGATGGTAGCAAGGACGCAACATCTAAAGTTGGCTTAAAATATTCACAAAAATATGGAACCAACAAAGTCCGTGTTATGACACTTAATAAAAATCGTGGAAAAGGAGGAGCAGTTCGTCAGGGCATGTTGGTTGGACGGGGTAAAATACTTTTATTCGCAGATGCAGATGGGGCAAGTAAATTCTCGGATGTAGAAAAATTAGAAGAAGAATTGAAAAAAATTTGTGAAAATGGTTTGGCAGTTGTTTGTGGATCAAGAGCTCATTTAGAAGAAGAGTCTATTGCACATCGATCAATTATTCGTACATTCCTAATGCATGGTTTTCATTTCCTCGTCTCTTTTTTATGTGTTCGTGGGGTTAGAGACACTCAATGTGGCTTTAAGCTTTTATCAAGACAGGCGGCTGATGTTTTATTTTCTAACTTACATGTTAATCGATGGGCATTTGATGTTGATTTATTATATCTGGCTCAGTTTTTTAGGGTGCCAATCGGTGAAGTAGCTGTAAAATGGGAAGAAATTGAAGGATCAAAGATGGTGCCTGTATTGAGTTGGATAGAAATGGGACTAGACATTTTATTAATAAGATTACGATATTTAATAGGTGCCTGGAAAATTCGAGATTTAAAATCCATGGAATAAACGCTTAAAGGAGCTAAATCGCTAATATTAGGGACCTAGAAATTGACACAAATGGGTTGCAACACATATAATAATGTAATATGAATGTATATAAACTGATTTACATTCAATCTTTTCCGTTTTTACTCTTAATTTCAAATCAGTTATGTTCGGCGAAATATACGCCAGAAGTGTCAATCGAATGGCTATCTCTAGCGCCTGGTTGTTCCAGTCGACACCGATAGTATTTATTGCGCGTGCTCGCCAGATAAGAATATGGCTTCACCGATTGACATGACTTGTGGAATTATATGTCTAGCCTCGTTCTTCGAGTTCCCTATTACAAATGGCACTGAAACCCATTATGGTACACAAATCGTGTACCAATGGTAAAATGTTTATGTTGTCTTAAATATTGGATATCAGAAGCCCATCTTTTCAAGATGCGATAACAACACCAATGTTGATTTAAATTGACAAATAATTCGTGTTTTCGATGTCGAAGACTTTGGATGATACTGAGTTAGAGACTTAGCTACTTTAAAATATGTATAGGCACATACATGTATTTTAAGCAATGGACCAACAGTTATTGAAGATGTCAACTGAGGTCTCACTATTTAATATTTATATTGCATTGGTTTCATGGGATATACATTAATATAACTATATTTATTTTTAGGTAATCATTAGGCTATACTTCACCTAGGAGTATGGAGTAATTGAACATAAAAATACAAATAGGCCACTCTAAATAAATTAGTAGGTAATCGGCCTTGTCTGCCCAGCTTCTACCAGACCATTATTATTTTTTTTTTTATTTTCAAAATTTACCCTCTGATGTTTAAAACAAAGTCAAAAGACCATTCCGAAACTTTGAAAGAAGTCTGTTTAAGCAGATGTATACACAAGATCAGCAGCCTGGATTTCCAATATCACTGTTTCAATATTACAAGCTGTTTCAGAGTCAGCTCATGATGACATTGCAATATTATTAAGAGTTTATTTCTCAGACAGCAATGGCATGTGAGTGTTTTGATATGAAATAAAAGCTTTATTCTAGAAGTGTTGCATGTTTTGTATATTAATTCATACATGTGTATTTGAAAAAAAAAAAGGACAACTATTGACTAATTGTCCATATGTCTGTCCGTCACACTTTTTGGGACCCAGTAACTCTCCTTCTGAAATGAAATGAAATGAAATGGAGTTTAACGTCCTACTGTTCTGCTCCTAACCTGGGCTAATGAAGACGGGCATACGCCATACAGTGTGCTATGAGGGAAATTTTGCCCGGACAGCGGCACTACGGCCTACTCTTATATCGAATTCCAACTGCCAAGGGATCTTTTACGTGCATGCCAATGTGTACACGGGACCTCGGTTTTTCGTCAGCCCCTCCGTCCTGCATCACTGACAAGGGAGAACCACGCCGGAAAATCTGGATGAACTAACTCTCCTTCTAATTGAGCTAGAATGTTCAAACTTGGTGTAGGTGTTTATTAGGTTGATACCTTGATGGAGTTCGAAGATGACCATTTTGAGCTTAGGGTAAGCAGAGATAAGCAATTTGACTGGTTGATGCTTTGGGACACGATAACTTTAGTTCTAATTAAGTGAGAGTGATCAAACTTGGTGTATAATTTCATCACATCAATACGTTGACTAAGTTCGATAATGAAAATTTCTGCTCAGGATAAGCAGTGCAATAAGCAATTTGATTGGTCGAGGCTTTGGGACACAATAACTCTCCTAATTGACCTAGAATTTTCGAACTTGGTGTAGGTGTTTATTAGGTCGATGCCTTGATGGAGTTCGAAGATGAGCATTAAAATTTTTCTGCTTAGGGTAAGCTGAGATAAGTAATTTGATTGGTTGATGCTTTGGGACACGATAACTTTAATTATAATTAGTGAGAATGATGAAACTTGGTGTATAGTTTCATCACTTCAATACGTTGACTAAGTTCGATAATGAACATTTTCTGCTCAGGATAAGCAGTGCAATAAGCAATTTGATTGGTCGAGTCTTTGGGACACAATAACACTCCTAATTGAGCTAGAATTTTCAAACTTGGTGTAGGTGTTTATTAGGTCGATGCCTTGATGGAGTTCGAAGATGAGCATTTTCTGCTTAGGGTAAGCAGAGATAAGCAATTTGATTGGTTAATGCTTTGGAACACGATAACTTTAGTTCTAATTAAGTGAGAGTGATGAAACTTGGTGTATAGTTTCATCACATCAATACCTTGACTAAGTTTGGTAATGAACATTTTCTGCTGATGGTAAGCAGAGCGATAAGCAATTTGATTGGTCGAGACTTTGGGACACAATAACTCTCCTAATTGAGCTAGAATTTTCAAACTTGGTGTAGGTGGTTTTTTTAGGTCGATGCCTTGGTGGAGTTCGAAGATGAACATTTTCTGCTTAGGGTAAGCAGAGATAAGCAATTTGATTGGCTGATGCTTTGGTACACGATAACTTCACTTCTAATTAAGTAAGAGTGATGAAAATTGGTGTGTAGTTTCATCACATGAATACCTTGACTTAGTTCGATAATGAACATTTTCTCCTGAGGGTTGTTCAAGACTTTGGAACATAACAACTCTGAGGTAGAAAGTTTAAACTTGATGTTGATGTTCATTAGGTTGATTCTATCTGATAGAGAGTGATGAAACTTACTGTATAGTTAATAATCAGTTTGATTGCTCGATGCTTTTGAGAAAGATAAACGTGCAATTAATTAATATTAGGGATAAGCTTACTGCAATTTTGTTTTTAAAAGCATTTTCCCCTTTTTAATGCACATGCAGATTTCATCAAAACTAAATAATCTTTATCACGTATGCCATGTTGCATTTTTGTGTGTTTAAAAAAAAACAACAAAAAACGGTCAACCTCTCTGATTTGCGTCAAAAATTTAATTATCAATTTCATTCAATTTTGTATGTTGATTTTTGTAGGTCAATTGACAACTTGTCTTTGATAAAGTCAATGTTGAGATAAAATGGATTTTGCTTTCTACTGTCGACAGAGTAAGCCATAAATTAAACTAAAATTAACGAACAAGCTGACTTCAGCTTCTTCTTTTAAAACAAAAAGTTTATTGTAGAGCTCGCTCCATCAGATTAGCCCATTCAATGCTTTATTATGACCTAAATCAAAGAAGTTTATCTTATTTAAACCACTGAGAATGTTTGTGGCCATTTGACACCACTTCCAATTTGAAATATTCACACAGCTAAAAATAAATTGATATACTTTTGTATGGAAGTATTGGAAGCAGTTTCTTTTGGTTTATATTTTTGTCACCTTAACTCTTGTGAACTTGAAATTAAGCTGCCAGACTTGAGACAATATAATATATTTTATTATGATTGAATATTTACAGTGTTTTTTATACCACTATTGCACATCAACAACTAGATACATATAGGTTATTTGCTTAAGAACAGGTTATTTTTTTACAAGAGACCCACATTTTTGCCATTTCATGTTTCAAAAATAACTTTCATAGAATTCTTATAGGTGATTTCTGTTGCCCAAGATGAAAAATCTAAAAATTGCATAGTCTACGCACCCAATTGCTGGCGATTTTTTGATCTGACATGTTTGATATGATTGATTGCTTAAGTCGTCGCTTCGTCGGCAACAAATCGATGAGCAATAATTAAATTAAGGCGATCAAATCACCTACTAAACTAATCTTTTGGTAATTTTTCTCATGTGACATAAACACGCAACAGGTTTCTCTTGATTTTGTTTCTGCTGCATATAAGTGGCTTGGGTACTTTAAATTAGGCCTGACTTATTGAATTTAAGCTTGCAATTTAGGCACTAATTAAACGTGGGAACTGTAAATGTTATTTTGTGTGATCGGCAAAATCGTCATGGGTGTGCTCACTCCACTTAAATAGCAAAATATCTGTTGCAAAACTCGTCGCTTAAAGCGATGATTTCATATTTTCTAAGAAAGTCAAAACATAATTATTTCTATGTCTTTTGCTCAATAGGTTATCATCTCACTATTATACGACCATGGGCATTATTTCCCACCCTTAAAAATCATTGACACAGGAAATAATAACACAATTACCTCACTTGTTTTCCTATTGCTTCCATTCATTAGCTACCTTCAAATGTTGGAATTTGAATTTGAAGTTGAAAATGATATTTTTGCCAATTTCTCAGCTGGCAATAGTGAATTATAGGATTATTCTTTAACAAGGTAGGACGGTTTATGGATACCATCTATTTTAAGGCTTTATTTTAATTAATTTTAAAATATAACTTAAAAATATGAAATTGTAGCTTTAAGATATCGCCTAGTGTGCACCAGGTTTTGCTGCCAGAAAATTCTATAACCTTTATGCAGATGGTATGAAAATTGAAAGGAATTAACAACTATAACAAACCAGTTAGGGTGGAGAGAAGGTTTAACCTTGACTCAACACTATAATTGATTTTGAGACAAACATCTGGCCCGGTTAGAATTTACTAAAAATTATTTGCCTTATTTCAACTAAATTATAGCCCTTTATATAAATTTTAGTTGTTTTAAAGGGGCATTATGGGAGATTAGATAAAGAGTTGACAGTTCTCGCTATAATAGTTAAACCAGCTGTTGCCAGGCAAGATGCACCCACATTTTGCAAGAGATGGATAGAGAACAAGCTAAAAACAAAAGCGATTTTTTGTACAATTGGGGCCATAATCCAGAAAGTTATGGTCTGAAATGCACAAATATTGAAAGAGACCGAGATCTTGGGGATATAAAGATATATTTTAAATTTCATCAAAATTGGATAAAAATTGTGACCTCTAGAGGGTCCACAACCTTCGTATTACATACTTTACACAATTTGCATACAAAGAGAGGCCATTTTGTTGGGCAGTTTTGTTTCGATTTTCCCGAAATTCGAATTCAACCTTCATTATGGTGGAATGGTGAGATGTTTAAACAGTTTTTAAAATCGGATAAAAAAAATTATGACCTCTAGGGCCATAATCCATGAAGTTATGGTCCGATACATGCCAATATCGAAAGGAACAGATCTTTGGGAGATAGATCTACATTTTAAGTTTCGTCAAAATCGGATAAATTGATGATGGACAGGGGCGACAGCATAATACATCCACATGAAAATGTGGGCGTATAAAAATAGATAACGTAAATAGAATATGCTGAAAATTTCAGTCAAATTGCTCCACTTTGAACCAAGATATTAGCTTTTGAATACCTTGACTAAGTTTGGTAATGAACATTTTCTGCTGATGGTAAACAGAGCGATAAGCAATTTGATTGGTCGAGACTTTGGGACACAATAACTCTCCTTCTAATTGAGCTAGAATTTTCAAACTTGGTGTAGGTAGTTTTTTTTAGGTTGATGCCTTGGTGGAGTTCGAAGATGAGCATTTTCTGCTAAGGGTAAGCAGAGATAAGCAATTTGATTGGCTGATGCTTTGGTACACGATAACTTCAGTTCTAATTAAGTAAGAGTGATGAAAATTGGTGTATAGTTTCATCACATGAATACCTTGACTAAGTTCGATAATGAACATTTTCTCCTGAGGGTTGTTCAAGACTTTGGAACATAACAACTCTGAGGTAGAAAGTTTAAACTTGATGTTGATGTTCGTTAGGTTGATTCTATCTGATAGAGAGTGATGAAACTTACTGTATAGTTGATAATCAGTTTGATTGCTTGATGCTTTTGAAAAAGATAAACGTGCAATTAATTAATATTAGGGATAAGCTTACTGCAATTTTGTTTTTAAAAGCATTTTCCCCTTTTTAATGCACATGCAGATTTCATCAAAACTAAATAATCTTGATCACGTATGCCATGTTGCATTTTTGTGTGTTTAAAAAAAAAACAACAAAAAACGGTCAACCTCTCTGATTTGCGTCAAAAATTTAATTATCAATTTCATTCAATTTTGTATGTTGATTTTTGTGGGTCAATTGACAACTTGTCTTTGATAAAGTCAATGTTGAGATAAAATGGATTTTGCTTTCTACTGTCGACAGCGTAAGCCATAAATTAAACTAAAATTAACGAACAAGCTG